TTCCTGCTGCTGCACTCTATCCTGCCTTCTTTCTCCAGGGATTTTGTGTGAAGCAGAAGCAAGAAGTGTTAGTGAATGGACAGCATTTCACTTTGTGCAGGAGGAAGGGTGTGCACACACGTGTATGGTAAAACCAGGATCTGTTGGGAGAACAGAGCCTACCTTTGTCCTTTGTCAGGCCTGCCCCTCCTGGCTGCCTTGATGTTATTTCTTTAAGACATTATATTGATTCTGCCTCTCCTCTTTTTGTCAAAAACTCCTTTTTTTTTTTTTTTTCCCCTCATTTCTGGCAGCTCTAGCTGTTGAACAAGCCCTGCTGCTTTGGCAGTGGCGGTGGTGACTAGCTGCCTCCTTGACTCACATGTCCTTCAACATGCAACTTTGAACAGCATCTAGAAAAAAAAGCAGAGTAGTGTAACTGTGATGAACTTCTCCATCAACCCTAGTTTGGTAACTACCACCAAATTACTTCTCAATGCTTGGGAAAAAGTGGGCAGTTAGCGTATTGGAAATATTACTGCAAAGGTCTAGCTTTTGCAAAGAGTCTGGTTAATGCTGGTATGTACAATTCGATGGATTTCATCTAGATTTTATTTTCTGCAGTCTTTTTACCAACTGCTTTTGCAAACTTTCTGCCAAGAGGCTCTAAACCATCCCTCTTTCCTCCTGTGCCCGTCACAAACTAGGCACCAGCTCAGACGGGTCACTACATCTGTCCATACACTTTTTCATTCACTGAAGTTTTAAGTGCAGCTTTTGTAGTTTAAGCTTGCAGGCAGTTTTAGCTTACAGGCAGTTTCTGAGCAAGCTAAAATAGCTTCAAATAAATGATCCAAAGAGGAAGGCAAATTTACACAAATGTGTCTTCATCCAATTAACTTAAACTCTAAATCTGTTTCTGCAGTAAAAATAAGAGCCTGCTTTCCCACCCTGTGTCCCAATGTTTATTGCACACTAAAGTTGAGAACAAGATACATCACTAGGAAACAGCCCAAGGATCCCCGTGGCCTTATCGGTCATCCTGACACTGAAGTGACGTGAAATAAAACATTTCCTACATGAAATAAAACATTTTCTCTGGGAGAAAGACAGTAAGGGTGGAAGGAGATCAGAGCCTTCTCTTCAAAAAGCACAACATTTCCCAGCTTTTTGGGATGAGGCGCCAAGGACGGATAAAAGCCTTCAAAATATTTCAAAACATTCCTTAACTGTAAGTCTAAATTGCAATTTTTTTTTTCAAACAGGACTCAGGATTGAGACCAGAAGATTCTCATTTTTGTTGCTGTTGTTTTTGTTTTGCTTCTAAGCGAGGCACAGCACAATCTCTAAAAATGTGGCCTGTTAAGATCAGTTTTACAAAACTGGCACCCAAATGTACTAATAATTTCATGATCTAGATCTGTCTAGATTGGAGATAAGCTCAGTGGTAGCATCCCAGGCTAAAGCAGAAACAGCTGAGCACTGTCACACCACCCCGGCTTCCTCATGCCCAGCCGTTCAGGTGTCTTAGCCGCGGGTGACCCTGCCTGAAAGTTTGCTCTGATCTGTAAATGCAGAGCTGCAGCTCCCCTGTGCCCGCTCCTCGTGCGCGAGGAGTTAACCTAGTGCCACGGGAAGCCTCGGGCAACGCGGCCACGTGCGCGGGGCGCACATGAAGGCTTTGTGGACACACAGCTAATTCCAGGGATTCACTAAGCTCCGGACCTTCCTCTCATTCAGTCATTTCCCTTGCAGTCATAATCAAGGTGCATTTAACACAAAGAGGTTTAAATGCGTGGTGCATTGTAAGTCGGTCTGCTCGCACGTACAAACTAGTGGGAAAACACAGGCACCAGGCAGAGTCCTGCCCCAGTCGCCTTGTCAAACACAAGCTGCAGAACTGGGAGGTCCATGTGAAACGTCAGGAGCCTGGTGTCTGCAAAGATGTCATATCCAAGAAAACCTACTTTGACCTTATGCAATGGTAGGAAGCTTTTATTAGAGGTAAGAAGAGTGTAATGGAAAGGCTGAATGTGTCCTCTGCATCAGATGGATACACTGGAACGTTTATTTTGCAAAGACATTCACGTAACGAAGGCTGGCAAGGTGTTTTGTAAAGGTTTTCCACATAGCAAACACCCAACCCAAAGCTCCGGCAACTACAAGGACAAAACAAATTCCCACACCCGAGTGTTCGGGTGAAACATTTGCTCCCACAACACGTCCAACTTTCCAAACAGCACGTTCCTGTTCAGCACACGCAGGCTCTACGCTTGCGAGATTAACATCTCATTGAACTGCCTCATGACCAGGGCAGAGATAAATTGCTTGGAAAATTAATCATTGCTGATTAATGCAATTAATATATAGTTTGGATGCTTTGTGTTTTAAGGGACAATTACACCAATATTTTTTCCATCTTTGGGAATTGCATTGGCCAAGTGGGACTACATTAAGACCTGCCAATTTTATGCTGACAATTAACTGGTATTTCACAATGGCCAAATTTGCCATAGGCAAACACAAGTTAGTTTATTTGTCCTTTCTTTTAACAAGGAGGAAAAGTCAAGGAATAAAGAAGTGTTCTTTGTCCAAGCAAATGTTCCTGTGTACTTTTAAAGGCTATTGGTTTTACTGTACTATTCTCACACGGGAAAAAAAAAAAAGAAAAAAAAGAGGTGCTCAAGACAAAACTAAATTTAATTTATAAGTGTATGAAATATGGGAGGTTCCTGAATGTTTCCAGTAAGATTTTTGTATTAATTTCAACAGATAGTCCTAAAAATGTTTTTATATAAAACTCTGCCAAGATAGTTATGCAGGTAGGAAGTTAAGCCGTTTGGGGAAAGCTTACATGAAAATTCTTAATTCCACTGTCAAATTCTTGTTTGCGTTGCCGTTGTGCAAAGTAACGACTTGCGGATCACCACACAGCGCTGCCACGGCTTTGTTGACGTGCAGGTTCTCACACAACAGCCTCAAAATGCTCCTAGGAGTGTGTCCCCCACCAGAATAGCCAAGTCCTCACTGAACTCAGCCTTTCCTATAGAAACAGGCACCAGCAGTCTATGTGCCAAGGAATAATGATTCCGATCTCCATAGGCCGCATCTTTATCAACGTGCGTTTTGTCTACTAGAGATGTTTGTGTTGGCACAGCTCCACTTATTTATACAGCTGTGCCAAGATAAGTTATCCTAATGCTAAAAATGTGGATTCACCTATTAAAGGGCCATTTCACGCTGTAGGATTTTTGTGTTCATGAGGATTAATGAAAGAGTGGACAGATGCGGCACTGCACAGCTACGGAGCTCATTTTCATGCCAGTCATGATAAGGAGGAGACAGGAGCAGCATGACAAGATGCGGAACATGTTGGTGATTCGCTGTCCCGCTCTAAAAAGCTCTTTCAAGAAACCGAGGGAGAGCTGCAAGACAAAAGGCTGGGAGAGCGCAGAGGTGCCACAAGGACAGGGTCTTTCTTCCCAAGAAAACTCCTGGAGCAATGCCTAGTTTGAGAAGTAACATTCACAAGGAACATAGATTGACTGTAATTAATGCCTACAGATAGAGAGGCTAATTAACAAGAACCCAACTAATAACTCAGTTGGATTTGATCCATATACTGACCTGGCAACATGTACCAGAGAGACAGAGAGTACCAGGATCTCTCTGTGGCAGCAAGCACACGTGCCAGGCACACGGGCCCTTGCAAAGCGCGTCACGGACACTGCAAATGTTGCCCAGCCGCTCCTAACCCTGGCTCTGACCTACTTTCCATCACCTCTACATACTTCCTTGCTGCTCTTTTGCTTCCTGTTTCTTTCCTACACACACGATACCCAACTCGCCCGGCTCTATGGGTTTTTAGCCCAAAGATGAAAACAGTTAATGTTCACACACGCACAGCGCTCCTCTTGGCTGGAGCAAGCTCCTGCCACCGTGCCCTTGCTACTGAATATCCTTGTGTACAACGGCTGCAACAGAAGATGAAAGGGGAGGAAGGTTCTCGGTAAAGCTGCTTTTATTGCCAAGTTCCATTCACAAAGAAAGGTCTGTTGTTCATTCTGCATATGGTTTCATAGCTGTGACACATGATTAATGCCAGCAAATACAGACACAGCTATAGGAACCTGGATTTCAACACCATACATCAGCATTTGCTAATTCCACTCCCTTCCCAGACACCTACTTACATTTTTCTTTAAATTAACAATGGATACTGCCACATTTACTCTGAATATCTAACTTACATTAAATAGTTAACACTTACTGCCTGAGGAGAAGACATTCCAGAATTCAACTCATGTAGAATGTATTCAGACTTTTTTTCCATTTAAATATGTTTTCAGGATGACCTTGGTTGGTGCTTACAAAAAGCATTTCTAACACAACATTACTGAAATATATTTCAACAGAAGACAGTCCTTTGTGTTCCCTAAGTGCCTTATGCGCTGTTCAAAGTTCAGGTACGTTCAACTCTTCTAGAAAAAATGTTTTTTCTCCCTTCCTCCCTGTTGCATGTAACAGTGACAAAACTTTGGAGCAGCAGAACTGCTCCAATGAACCGCAGAGTTTGCAGCAAAGAACCGACACGTACGCGTGCTCGCGGGCGGAGATGCCCAAGGTTAACCCCCAAGGCTCCCAGGGCTGCCTGCAGCTCCCTGGATCGTAGCAATCTGCTTCTCCAGCGCTATCCGTGGGCAAAACAAAGCTCCTGGAAGCCCTGGCTGTCCGGACGCCTGCAAGCTTGAGCCTATTCTCAATTAATTTCATATTCGCTGTGTTTCTGCCACGGTTAGCCCCTAAACACGTCTAACCAGAAAACGCTGGGCCTTCCCATCTCCCTTGACTCAGCACGCAGCAACTACCGCTACTACCTGAGCGTGGGCAGCCCGAACCCAACGCCACGGAGAAACGGGACACACACGTGCACTCATGTTCCTTAAGATCATCATCTCGGGAAACCTGGGAACACAATGTATTACCTGAACTCTCATTTTTGTTACCAACAACTTAGTCACCATCTGCTTCTTACACCCTGGGTAGTTATTTTGCTCCAGAAACACACTCCTCACCTTCATTTATGCTAATAAGACAGTCACAGTAATGACAAGTTTTGCTTTTGCTATTCATTAAGAATCAATCAGTTCAAGTAAGTAAATAAAAACTGGTACCTCCACAGTGTATATTTATTAGACAAGCAAAATTGAGTTTTACATTTGTAATACATTAGCAAACATAAAATACATACTTTACAACATCTTCCAAAGGAATCAAATCTGAGCAATGTGCAGATCTCTAAAAATGTTTGGGAGCTCAAAATAGGGTTAATTCTGTACAAATGTACTATAAAAATATGCTTCCATATGAAAGAGCCTTCTGATTGAGATTCAGTGCAGAACTGCATCCCCCCTGTGTCTCTGTTACTCATCAAAAATGCTGAGAAGCAGAAAAATAAAAATAAGAACCTTCCTTCCCTTTCCCCTTTGCAAGAAATGCCCATACCCTACCAAGTCCTACTTCGGTCACTACCTATTTTTCAGGATCTAATAAAAGATAGTAAATTTGTGATATTCATCTCTTTTTGTGCTACCAATGTGGGGAAATATGAAAGCAGCAAAATGGGCAAGACAAGAGACTTTTACCCTCCTAAGAAGACTTTTAGATACCAGTGTTTAGGCTAGCAAAGTGCTAGGGTCAGGCAGCGATGGTCGAACAGTGACGGCAGAGACAACTCCTCCAAGGGTAAGCGAGGAGGAGGATTTCAAACAAACCGTGTATGCGGCCACTCAGGGCTGGCTCGGGGAGCGCGTTCCCGCTGCGGCAGGATGCGGGATCTCACTGCTGCCCCGTTCCACGTCTCTTCCCGCTCCTGCTCACGACTACCAGCTTGGGCCTTCTAGGCCGCAGCTGCCTGCGCAATGGCCGCTCCACAGCAACTCACCGTGACGCCTGCGCTGGCTGCCGAGGGCAGCAGCAGCACCGCTCTACATGCCCTCCTTTCGGAAAAGCAGCACGTCCTGGTTGGCAGGATTGCTCCGTAGGCCTTGACCTGCGCTACCTGTGCAAAGGGGAAAAAAGTGACGAGGGCACAAGCAACACATTGCAACCAGTGTTTCCTTTCATGCAGTGGCTTCATGCTTCTACATCTGATTATCTGAGAGCTTCCCTGCGTCTTTAAGCAAACAGTTTTAATAGTTTCACAAACTTTATGAAAAAAAATCCATTCCCTATTAGCGAAATGACACTCAATTACAGGGCAATTACTGAATTCCTAGGTTGGTTAAAGTAAGCATCCAAGGCCACTTGCTCTAAGTGTGAAAGTTAGAGCTACTCACGTCTTACTGCTTAATTGGAAAAATCATTATAACTTCAGACCTGCTGAGTATTGCTGATTTTGCTGTAACTGAACTACTTGAACCCTCTTTTTTTTTTTTTTAAGAGAGCAAATCCAGAACGGGTGAATTCTCCTCCCCACTGCGCTCTGTCACTGGGGGGCAAAGGCTCTGTGTGAATCACACCACACACTGCCTTGAACTGGGAGCCCCGAGTCAGATTTCAGGAAAATTCTGGATAGGGAAGAAGGGATTTTAAGGGTCACATGCCTACACTTCAGCAACAGTAATTCAAAAAAGGAAACTTCACCCTGAAAGGGAAGCCCTAATTTTTCCTCAGTGGGTGACTCAAAAGAAAGTTCCATGTTGTACATTGAAGAAGGCCGAAAAGATTCTTTAGCAGGCCTGGATATACCCCCCTGCCTCAGTCTAACTTAAGGAACAAGAACCTGATTTGGAATTTATCATACGTTAACAGTGGAAAATATGAACAACTTCAGTCCTCAGTGTTAGTAACTCAGGACCTCACAGGCAGATATAGGCCCCAGTAGTAATTAATATGATCAAGTTTCTAACACATTTATTTCAGACTGCCTATAAAATGAAATATAAAAAACAATGTCTGGTTTCCTTCAATTCAAAATAAACTGAACAAACAAACAAACAATGACAGCTTGCACAAGTTAGAAGCTGCAAGCATCACTTCACTAGAGAGGGAGAGATTCCAATTCAGTGCTTTTTTTTTGTCTTCTTTCCCAGATTTGGCAGTCATTCCTCTCCAAGAGGGAAAAGCTGGTGTTGTCCAGCACTGCACACTGGGGGAGAATGAGGGCCAGCAAGAGGAGGTGGGATGTGAAAGGTCTGAGAAGGCCACACACAGTTGTTTAAAAAAGTAAAATATTGGTAAAATTTGATAAAGTATGGGAGTCATAGATGTGGAAACAGCAAAGCAGTGAGTATGCCTTGGCTTCTCTGGCTTGGCTCAGAAGAACAGCAGAAACAGAACTGTTTCACATTAACACTGAGCAAGGCCATAGAGTGTGGCTGAAGGTGAGCACGTCTCTACAGAGACAGAGAACTGAGCAGCTCACAGCAAACGTGAGGATTCTGCACGGTTTCCACATCTCTTTTAGACTGGCTCTAGTTTCCTGACCTCCCCTTTGTGGTATTGGGCTGAAGCACTGAGCCTTGGGATGGGTCAGTGTGCCACTGCTTTTGTCATTTGCAATGTGGTGTCTGGATTTACTTAAAAAAAAAAAAAAAAAAAAAAGTGATGGCATCCTGATTCAAATCAACTTTTGTTTAGAAAAAATTACATTTGTGGCTGATGTGCTAATGCTTTCTTGGTTGAGTTTCCTTTTTACAGTGAAAGGGGGGAGATGAGGAAACAGCCCTTGATTTTTTTTTCTGATAAGAGAGATAAATACGTTACTCTTCAAGGAATTGTACATCAGTAACATCATAGTTTTAGAGAAAAACGATTGCCAGATCAAGGACATTCAGCCCCCCCAGTGGTTTTGCATTCCAACTCCCCTGTGGCAGCAGGGAGCCCAGGGAGCCCATAGGGACACCGGTAAGAGCAGAGCGAGCGGTGGCTGCTGAGCGCAGCTCGGCCGGCACGGGGACGTGCGCTCCGCTTGGCCACCCCTCGGCCTGCAAAGCTCTGCCGGACACGGGGCGCACGCTCCACCAAGCCTTCGGTTTTCCTGACAGCAGAGTCTGTTTTCCATGGAGAGCTCAGTACACAGTTGGTCAGGAGATTTAAAAGCCACTCCGAGTTAATGAAGAGCACAAACTAGAAAGTTGGCTTTCTTTCCACTGGTCCCATTTGCTGAGCAATACAGCTCAAGAGGGAGCTTATGTAAGCCCGTTAAAAAGCCTCTTTGTGCAAAGCTCTAATCTTGCTAGGATTGGATTTTAAATTAGATAAATAAAGATCACGGTTTTTCTTGTCTAAAATTAATTCTGTTTAAGAGAACTCCGCCTGCACAGTGGCATTTTCTGTAATCTAGGTCAAGAGTTAAGATTAACAGCTACCATAGAATGTTTTCAGATTAAGGCATCATTTTTTATAATTCTTTTTAAAGTATTATTAGGGCTACAGTGTAATACTGCCACATCTCAGAGCAAGTGTAGTCTGCAATGACTTCAGCTAATAAACATTTATTTATGTGGCCCCTGTGGACAAACTGTTGCTGATGCCTCAGTTAGTTCAGGTACATCTACATTAGCTGCCCACAGTGACTGCAGTGTAAACTTACACTTAAGTGTAAATTTAAAGTTTATGACAAAAAAAAATGAGGCCTCATTCTAGCTGCAAGGTCAGATTCTCATCCCACATCCACAGCAGGGCTGAGAATGCCTTATTCCCATATTTCATTTAGAGTTTGAGCCTATCTGAAATGGTCAGAAAATCAGTTAATTCAATTTGACACAAAGTGAAAGCCAAAGAAAACTAGGACTCAACAAGATAGCATGCAAAAACTGATAAAGAAAATTTTCTGGCTTTCCATAGCAAATATTTGGTATATGCACATTTTGCAATGATTAAGTTATTACATTAAAAAAAGACTGAAAAAGTCAGCAAGGCTTTCCTTTGGAATAGTCAATCTCGGATATAATATTTAAAATGAGTTCATGATGCTATGTGGCAGCCAGAAAGGAGATACTAAGAGAATGGAAACTGGAAGCAGGTTTAAAAAAAAACCAACAAAAACACACACACCACTCTTCAGATTTACCTATTTGAAATCAGATCAATGCAAGTGCAGACAGAAGCAGGAAACAGATTGCACGGATGACTGAAATCACAATTTCATGTAAAGCGACACTGTAAAACGTCGTCTGACACTTCAGAGCCACAGAGCACCTGGCACCGCTCCGCGCAGACCGGCACTAACATCCTGGCACACATCAGCACACGTGGAAACTGATGAGAAAGCTTGAGCCCCACTGAAGCTAAGCAATGAATCAACTCAGCGAGAGGCATGCCAAACTTTAATCAAAACTTTTCCATTACTTGGTCATCTCACTATCAGGATCTACGAGGCAAAGTGAGGCAAGCATAAGATCAGAATCACTTTTACGCAGCAATTTAACTTTCTTTTTTCTTTTTTAAACAATGATGCTATTCCAGATAGAAAAAATACCTTCCCTGTTGTGTTTCATACTTGGAGTTATCAGTTAGTTGTTGTGGCCTTTCTCCTACCTGAAGATGCAGAAGTAAAAAACAGCAAGAAAAAGAAAAAAAGCAAACCACGTTTTCGACTGTCTGCTTCTAAAAACTGTCCTCCTTTAGAATGGATTTCTTCATCCCTCGAATGAGTAGCAATTAGACACTCAGAAGTAAACAAACAAATTATAACAATCTCTTAAAATATTTTACATTCCTCTGCAAATGGTTAAGCAAAGACTAAAGAAGCCTCAAAAATCCCTTATGTTAACATGAATATTTCAGGCTTTCCCCTTAAAAAAAAATAGATATTTGCTTTGAATCAAACTTTGAAATAAATATTACACATGGAAAATACAATATTGAAGTTTAGAGTCCTATGAAGACAACACTGAAAGTGGCCAAGCCTGCTGTTATCATGCAGACCCCCAAAAGCTGAATGAGATCAGTATAACAAAAAAACCCCAAAAAACCCAAACTCAAAAGAAACAAAAACCCCCAACTTGTCTCAAATGGAAATGATACATCTGTTCTACAATATATCCTTTTTTCCTTGTCAATGGCATCAGTTTCAAAGAAATAATGATTCAATATCTTGGAACCAGGGATCCCAAATTTCTTCACTTCTCCGTAATACTGTAGAGCTTTAATAACTAAGCTAGTTCCTGCAGCTGCAAGTGTACTTAAAGAAAGCAGGTGCTCTGAAAGACTTCAGCGTTCTTGTATAACAGAAAAGGGTGTGGAAACATCCAGTCCAGATTCAAAACAGTTCCCCCTCATCCCCGGTTTAAGGATGCTGAACATGTGATTAAAGCTGCCAATACTCTCTTTTATCAGTGGCCTCCTCCTGTGAGCCAGCTGGCCTCTAAGGGTCCAAGAAGTATCTGCACTTGTCCCCGAAAAAGGTGCGAAAATAGGCTGCGTTTGCTTCCCCATTCAGCAGTGGCTGAAGGCTGCCTTCAGTCCGAACGCTCTTCCCCTCCTTCCATCCTGCAGTCTTCCCCTCCGGGCTGCACGGAGGCCTGGGGAATGCAGCCGACCGCACGGATGCTGTGGGAATCAACCGGCGGCACCAGCGTCAGCGACTCCACGCTCAGCGCGTCCGTATTGTCATCCGATATTAGGGATATTGTGGGCTGCTGTGCAGGAATCAGGCTAGGGGACAGGTTTGCAGTTTCGATGTCACTGTTTTTTACAAGATTCTTGCTAGACTTTGTGACAGCTGAAAGAGTTTCATCAATCAACATCACCTGGCCAGAAATGGTCATCTGAGGCTGTTCGGGAGCTGAAGAGTCATCTATCAAAGAAAACATGGAGAAACATTCAAGTTAGTGCATGCTTTGTCTGTTAAGGCCTAGCATATTCCTAAGCACCCATTAAAAATAGTGCTGAGGTGGAAAAAGCGGTTCTGTGAAGCCCTACACGTACACATTCATTTTTAGTCCTCAAACAATACGCAGAATATTATGAAGGCATTGTGTAAAATGCCAGCAGTAAACTGCTCTCGTTAGAAATGAGAAAATGTATACGTATTATATTATAGATATTATAATTTGCAGCAATATCTGTAAGATTAAATCAAGAGATAGAATAAGAAAGCCTCAGCAGGATGTGGTAAAGACTGAAATGGGCACGCACCACCTCAGGCGAGGAGGCTCTTTCAAACTAAGAAGTCAATCCCTGTAGAGTTTTCCCTTTCCCAAGAGGCTGCCTGGTCCTCCCAGAGGTGTGGAAGTCACGTTCAGATTTAGGGGACAGCTGAACTATAAAGAGGAACTATGGCAGAACGGGGAGTACAATACAATGACGTGCTCACTGTAACGGAACAAGCCTCTTTGGAGCAGGCTTTTGTTAAATGCATTTTCTGCTCATAAGCACGGAGCAGACTGGATAAAACCAGGAATAAGCAGTTGCATCGCACACAGAATCGATGGGCTAAGCTCCCTCCACCCAATGAAAACCATTTTAACAGCTATTTGTACTGCCTGTAGTGCCATTTTCTGCCTTAAAATCCTAGCTAAATATGAAGCAAACTGCTCATTCAGCTCAGGGTACTGAATGAAGGGGACGGGGGAGGCACAGCCAAGTCTTCCCAGACAAGGCAAGGTTTTTCTTTCCAGATTCGGGTAACAGATGCCACTAAAGTAACAGGTATCCAGCTTCAAGACAGCCCTTAGAGTAAAGAGCATGTGTTCACATGTACAGGCATCTGCAGAAAAATCTACAAGCCAAGGTAGTGAACACAACATCCAAGAATTCATTCTGCTTTTTAAACACACAACAACCTAAAAATATAGCAATTCCAATATGACTCCAATCATTCCTGCAAAATAACGGGAAACATGAACAGAAGGCAAACGAGAAAACAAAGCATGGAATGGAACAGGCACTACACAAAGCAAAAGAAAGAAAAAAAACGAGCAAAGAAGTAATGAGTAGTCTGGAATGTCAGTACAAGACAGTTGTTTCCTCATCTTTCTGCTGAAATAACCCAAAGGTGTATTTTCACTTCAGAGAATCACTCAATTTTACTTTTTGCGGAACCTGTGCTAAAGCTGCTTGCCTTAACAAAGAAAAACAAATGCTATAGATTGGAAAATAAACCCAAGTGAAAAGCAACCCTCATCTCTTTTGAGGAGATCACGAATTTTGAACAACTAGGACAGATGCAGGAGTAACTGCAGATTCTTATTAATTGCCAGGAAGCTTTAGTGAGAACATGATACTGATAACAGAGGAAGTGATGAAAGCTTTGCATGGAAAATAAGTTGCTAAGAAAATATTGAAATAAAGCCTCAATTCTCTGAATTCCAAGATAAATGCTAACATTTAAATACTTTTAAAAAAAAAAAGTGAGCTTCTTGGCAGTGGTCTTAATTTCTGAGTTTACTAATTCTTAAAAAAGAAGAAAGAATATTAAACATTGCCAACACTATTTTTAATCTAAAAGTGTGGTAAAATTAGCCACCAAAATTTAGGATTCAGACCCCCGAGGCTTACTAGGAAGTAAAGTATATGAGTATATGTACAGAGCATAAGGGCTGCTCTGGTCAGAAATAGCATACTGGAGCATATTTCCATTACAGTTCTGCTACTTTTAATTTTGCACTGCAGTTCTTTAATCATTCTTCTTGCCTCTCAACCCCCCAAAATATTGTCAAACTTCCCAAATAATGTATTGAAATCATGATGGATAGAAAAACATTATTTTGTTATGCTATGCTGTCCCAAATCCTTCCATTCAGGACCTAAACGAATGCTAGAAGAGATTCCCTTTTTAATTCCGCAAAGGTAAAAGAGTATCTGAAAAAAGGTCTCCTTAGAAAAGGAATCCAACTCCGAATATCCATCCAAAATTCTGAAAATACATTAAAAAAAAAAAAAAGAGCAGATGCCAAAAAGGCGAGCAGAACAAGTATTTGCTTCCTTTAATTTCAGCTGCAGTGTTTATAAATAGAAATGCAAAAGGAGAGCTCTCCTGTGCTATTTGTCGTGGATAGCAGTAATCCTTCCTCCATCAGGCTGAACTTTACTACCTTTCCTCTATTACAGTAGTTAAGGGCAGTAGTGACAGATTTGCTGTAACCTGCCACAGCCCAACTGCCAAAGTTATTAGGGATTAGCAAATTGCCCCTAGCTGCTGCAGGAGCAGAAAGCAAATACAAATTTGGCATAAAATTTTGGAATAAAGAGAAATTACAATAAAAAAAATTGGATCATCATCTTGATCTGAAAAGATTGTATGCATAACACTTCTCTGTTAATTGAGTACATAGTTTCAGGACAGTTGAAACCTTACAGACCTTACAGAAAAGCTATGAGGCTAAAAACTTTAAAGCAGTTTAAGTTCAGATCCAATTCTGAAAATGAACTAAATATGTAAATATATATTTATGTATGATCTGAAGTCTTGTTGTCCATGAAATTGGTATAGACAACTAACAAGACGATGCATCCTCACTGAAAAAAACAAAACAAAACAAGAGGGAATGTTAGCTCTGGATGCAGAAGGAAATGTTCAGCAACCTTGGATTTTGTTCAGTGATTCTATAATGCTACCAAGGTTATCGTTACAGAAAAAAATCCAAAACAAATCACACATGTTGTAAGATAAAACTATGATAATTAGGGAAGGAAGGTAGAAAAGAACAGGGCAAGGAAAGAACATAATACGTAATAAACAGAAAAGTGTCCTAAGCTGCAGAGCAATAGAGTATGTATGGAAAACAAAACAAGCAACACGCTCCAGAGCATTCAAAGCAAATCTATAAAATAACAAAGCATGTTCACATAATATTACTAGAGTAAAAAAATTTTCACGCTCATGATGGTTGGAAAAAAAAGAAATAAGTTAGATTCAAGATAAAAAAGTTTTTATAAATGAGAACGTGTGAAATCTATTTAAGTCTATGTCCATCTTTTACCTGCACACCTGCCCATTAAGGAACCTGAGCTCGCTGAGTTCCACTACAGCCCTGTGCACAAGGGTAGGGAGAGCTGCTTTGAAGCTGGAGGTTTGACATATGGTTTCCTGGTAAGCAGGACTTCCACCTTTTGGCCAGAGAGTAAAGAACCATGGAAGAAACGGAGTAAGAGGCTGAGAGAGGCAGCTAATTATTGCTGCATGATTCTCAGCGTGTGCAGCCACCCCTACACCTCCCTCCGTGCTGCTCGCATGGCAATCAAACATCATTACGCTCTGTTCAGCACGGGGGGCTTTCGGAAGCGTACGGAGGAACCTGCCTGAATTGATATTGCGTGAGTTTCGGCTGCAGCTGCTGCTCGAAGACCTAAACCCAGTGTCCACCGTGACTGTCAGCCTCCGACAGACTAAACACCCGCCGTCGTCCTTTCCTGCCAGACCTTACTAGAGGAAAACACAGGGAAATATCAAACGAAGGCTTTAACAGCGAGACAGGGAGGGGAAACTGGAATGAAGACAAAGGAAAAACGTTAGAGTAGCAACAAGAGTAAGTGACAAGGACACATCCATAACTGCTGATATCCTGAGTACTATTTAACACTACACCAAGAGCTTTGTCAGTCTGCAAAATACTTCTACAGATGGAAGTATTCATTCTTTAGAAATAAAAGTGCATTTAACTGAAGTTCTTTTTTCTTACCTATCTGGAAATGTATGGGGTATGTTTTGGGCTAGGTCTTGCAATTTGGACAGCAGTTACACTGAGCTGGACTGGCAGGGCTCTGCATTACAATATGACTCACACTTTAAAAGATTAAATCGTATAGAACCTGGTAATATAGCATTATTCCAGTTCTCACTGGCAATAAATAAGAGCACTACTGAGAAGGTGACAGTGCTTCAGACCATGAAGCGCTGCTTCCCTACGACAAAACTTGAGTATTACATTTGGATTATAATAAAGCCAAATGCAGTATTTTTAAAAGATAACAGCAGTTAGGATGATGAAGCTTGGTGCACAGAAAGTTTCAGAAATGAAACTTTCAAGAAACAAAAGTATTTCTTTCTTACTTAGAAAATTGCTAGCATCATAGAACAGAAACAGTCACAGCACATTTACATTACTGCTCAGATAGGGCAGAGAGGAATGGGTCCAGCAAGGCAGCAGGCAATGCCTTTACAGGGTCTCCAGGCTTGATTAAGCATCCTCTTGTTGATGTGTATACATATATATATTTTATTTTACAGACTAGAATCTAATTGATTCTGTGCAACAAGGGATAGCTCTCTCTACTTATTTTAGACAATTTCCCATCAATATCTGCCAAAAGCATGAAATACAGCATAAATGGCACAGAAGATCAATGCTTCCTGAAGTCACTGCTTTAGCATAAATATTTTCTTGAGTAATGGAGTCAAATGTATTTGAGAGCTTTAAACAACTTAAAAAGTAATAAAATACAGCATAGAGGAAGTTACACACAGACACTCCTGGAAGAATGCTAACTCGCTGTAAGAGAGCTCCTTTATGTTAATTCTTGGTATATGTAAAAATAAGCCCCTCAGAAGTGCATAATTCCAGTAAGTGCAGCCAAGACTGATTCTAAGCTCAGAAGCTTAATGATTAAAATCTGCCTAGTAAAAGAACATTTTTATCTTATGCACAGCAACACAGACATGTTCATTTAAAGTTTTTAAATATATATAAATTTAAATATATGTTAAATATATGTATATAGAAAACAACCTGACGGCAGCACTTTTGGAACCTGATGCTCTTTTTCCTGTCTTGACAGGGACTCTCCTTTCTTTAATGAACAGCTTCTGCTTTTTCCATTTCAAGGCATAGAGATACTGCAAAAGGTTAAACTTAATTCTTCAGTATTGCAAATATGGGAGCAGCTAGGGTTTAAAGTGCCAACGCCATAAAGCATTGTGAATAATTATCAGGTAGGTAAATAAACTCAGGAGAAGATTAATTTCTTCATTAAAAAGTAGTCAGTGCAACTATTGCTCTCTTACTATGACTGAAATACGCATAAAAGTCAGGTGATTTTATGCAAGTTTAGTTAAGCTCCCTCCACACATTAGTAAGATACTGTGATGCCCGCCAGGAGTGATAGCAAGTGGTTTTAATACAAGTTTCTTTTTTTTTTCTGCAATACATTTTGCAAAAGCTCTTTTATGTTTCACCGTCAATATATGCACTACCTTGTGACTTTGTTTTTTTCTCCACTAATATGCAACTTTTCTCTATTTCATTCACATCACTGCTCTATGCAAACATCAATGTTTTATGTTCCAAAATCTTAGGAAGACTCGAAGCGTCACTTCAAGTGAATCACACTTGGTACAGTTTGCATCTCTCAAGAGCTAGAAGCCTAGGACAGCATAGCCATGAGTGTGCTGCAGAATTGCTGTCACGGTCCAAGATGTTCTCCCTTCGAAAAGGTAGTTGGAGTAGTTTTCTCGAAGTCCATGTGCCCATCTCCCCTTTTCTTGGCTGGCCTTCTTTGATTGAACTCCCTGGGCAACCTGGGCAGATTCTTACATGCTCTTCAAGGACAACCACCTCATAAGCGGGCAGCAAATATGGCACAGGAGGGATATAGCACAGAAGGAGGGATAGGGAGCACCTGTATGTGCTCACAGGAACACGACTGCATGTGCGCACACGTGTGTTTAAAGTGGGATGGGCAATGAGAAAGGAGACTCAAACATGACTCATGGGTGGCAGCACTCAAGTGCTACCCTGAGGCACAAAACACATCTCGGTATCTCTGCTTGCTCTCCACCAGCTACTTGCTGGTGAAGGGGTCACCCCTGTGAAGGGGTGACAAACATCCACGCCCCGTCACACCAGGTAACCCCCTCCAGCTCTCGGCAGAGTAAAGCAGCTCAGCTCCAACAACCTTCAAGTGAAAAAGGGCTTAGTTTTTCACTGAGGAGGGTAAACACCAGCTTTGCCGCTATTCACTACCAACTTGCAATAAACTGAATAAATCAGTTAATGCAAAAAACCTGCTCCCAGAAATACAGGTCCCCAAAGTGCTCTGGCACCGCGGATGGCGGGGGAGTGGGTCGCCAGAGGCCCAGCTCCGGAGGGGTCGGGTCTGCCGCAGCCGGTGCGGATCCTCCCTGGCGTTTCCACCCAGGCTGTTGAAGGCCGTTGTCCCCAAAGCATCAGGGCAGACTTCTTGTGCCATCAGCACTAGATCTGCTAAATCATATCCTAGCAGTGCCCCTAGATCCTGCTTGAAAAGCAGAAATGTTCTTTCCTGCATGACACATGGCATTTTGAACACACTTTAAGCCACAATGTAGGTCATGCTACATGTGGGCAGTTCATGCATGTAAAGTGCAGACACTGAAAAATCGACTTAAAACCTTCCTTTGATTTGTTTTGGTAAACAAACAAAAACACAAGCAGCCTCCTCTCACTAAGCTTTTTTCACCTAAGGAAAAATAAGTGTCTGCATGCTGAAGAAGTAGATTTTATTTTTGTAATTGAGGCCTGTGATAATTCTTCTTTAATGTACTATCTCATTATGCTACCTGGGGAATTATCTGTTCTGCATCTACGCAGTTTTTCACAGAAGTCAGACTACGTGCACTTGGAAAGATCTCTGTCTGAAACATGCAGCATGCTCGTCTGATATTTCTGTGAACTACCATGTCACTTACAGTAAAAAGTATTTTTTTAATCTCCTTTATCTCCACAACTTTCTCTTAACCAGCACTGCTTGTAGCTGTGTTTCATTTTTGGATCACATTGAGGATTCAAATAGAGCAGAGGACATAGGAGGAACAGGAAGGCCTTTGACAAATCATACTGCTTCTTCCCTTTGTGCAGCCTCCACCTATTTGTCTACTCTCTCAAAAGACTAATTAACTGCAATGACTCGCCAATGAAACAAGATCCTTCCATAGTTTTGAATAGATTGCCTAAAACCCTGCAGCTTCTATTCCAGAAATTGTACCTACTGCAAGACTACTGTGACTGCATGTGAGTCTATCCTGACATGTTTTTCATCTGGTGCTTGGGTGCTGGATGCTTTCCATATTGTTCACCAACTTCCCAGGCAGCCTTTGCTTTCCCCTTTAAGTGGTGGTGCTTGCAAGAAGGCTGCCCATTTCAAATAGATAGTGCATATTGATCTACTGGCAGTGTTCAGTGATACTAAGGCACTTTATGACCTAGAGAACACTAAATGCATAATAAAGATTTCATCATTCCTGGTATGACTGCAGAAAAAGTTTAAACTTATCGACATGAGGCTTTCAAATGAAGGTAAAAGGCTGTGCCATAACAGAGGGGCCCGGAACAACCATTTCCAGGACTGACCAACACCGCAGGTGACTACCAAAATGAGGGGAAGACCTCAAAAAGTCTGGAAGCCTTTTTGTCTGGTTGTTTAAATGGATCAGAGCTGTTGCAGAATGAAGGCATTTCAATACACTGTTTCATCAATTTCTTGCTCAGCTCCATCTTGAGGCCATCTACTATATAAGTGGTATTCAGAATAAATAGCTATAGGTTTCCCTACTAGTATAACACAAAGAAAGAAGGATTAGTTATATGGATAGTTAATTTGTAATAAGTATTAAACACATAAAAGCAAATGCTGTCCAGCTCAGAAGAGATGATTCATGTGAAGCCTCCTACTATAACTTTATGCAAGCCAATAATTTCAGTTAAAAAAAAAAAAAGCTGTATGTGCTAGGAGACAAATCAGACAAGATGGAAGTTATTTATCCAGTACTGAAGATCATTGCTGAAAGATGCCAGGTGTTTATTGAATACAGAGTTCCAGAAATCTGAAAAGATCACTAAATTTTGCATTACAATTTACTTGAACTGGTTTAGAGAAATGACCAAGTGCTTTAAAACCATGAAGCGCTAGTATGTAGTTAAACCAGTAATCCAATAAAATAATCTTATTATAGACTAATGTATAATGCCTTGGATGCTAGGCTGAAAGCAGTGGTTGAATACCTGATGGGCTCTGCGCAGCAGCAGGGGCGGAAGCTGAGCTCGCAGTCCCCGAATCGCAGCGTCCTGCGCTCCCGCTCGCGGGCGACGGCGATGCCAGCGGTGATGCACTGTGCTGATTTATACACTGCGCTACAGCAAAGCCTGCGGGACAGCACGCAAGGAGTGACTGGTCAGCAATTAGCTCAGGAGAGGTCACTTATTACTCTTTATCTTCTCATAAGTCAAGCATTCTGCAGTCTAGAACACAGAACATTTAATGTAGTGTCTGATAGCTAAACAAGTTTTCTTCTGGCTTCCCCCAAGTTCTTCTGATTGTGGCACCTTCCCCTGTTCTGATACAATTCAGCAGTTCTTTCTCCTTGCTCTGCAGCCCTCCCAGAAGTTTCTATTAAACTAAAAATCCCAGATAAGCACAAAGCCTTCCGTGAAAATCTGGGGCAGATTGGAAGCCTCTTCTATTGTTTACTGCAGATGAGTGGGAAAGGACCAAGCATCTGATTTCTAATCAGAGGCAAGAGAAGTAGCAATACATTTATTTTATAATTTTTACTGGCTACCACCAGTAGCGTTTGAAAAACAGAGCATTTAAAATACACACATTGTGTGCACATTTGAAAGCTCGCACTGTGTCCGATTCCTTACGCTCGATATTGGAGAAGAGCTTCAAATGTTTTTTCCTTCAGGTTTGCAAGCACGAGACTCCAGTTCTGGGAGTTCAAAGCAAGTGACCTGCTGGTTGAACTGGCTACCATGTGCCAATGAACAAATAAGTAAATAAAATTAGAAGATGAAGTCACTTGTTATGGCTAAGGGTGTATTCCGAGAGAAGGTTGATCCTGAAACAGCAAGCAATATCCAGAGTGCTGGCATCTTTTCAACCACACCTTTTCCATGGAAGTCTTGCGTCAAAAGCAGTAAGGAAATACACTTTTGTGATACAATATAAATTTGCCTTTTGGAAAACCTGACCGGGAATATGAAAGCTTTTATTATTGCTGTATGAATGAATCTCACTATTAACAATTCCACATGCAGGAACTCTGGCAAAACAAGCTCTCGTTCAGTCACACCACAGCAGAACACCTGCTTGCTCATACTGCCTGTACGATGCTTTACTGCTCTGTTTTTAATCTGTGAATGGCACAGAGAGATACTGAGCTTTGCACAATGACTGGCAGCTACTAGTACCAAGGTGCATCTTTGTGAACTAATATAGCAAAATTAAAGTATGAGGTTCAACTTAAAAAATTATTGAGTTTAGAAGGGTAAAGTTTCATTATTCAGAAGAAAAAACTCTTACAAAAAGGTCAATTGAGGCAGGAAATGAGGAGCTGACAGAAAGCAAGCCTCAGTCTAGAATTATCCCTTCAATGCTGGTTCAAAGCTGATGTTTTAGGAGCAGTCCTGGGCTTTTTCCCCTCTCGTCAGTGCTCAGTATCCCAGCTATTTGGATGCACTGGCGAGATGATCATAACTTATCCAAAGGAGGAACTATGTGTAACTGACTGACGTGTTGCATACCAAGTGTGTGCAACATGATGATTCATATTTCAAGTCCATTTGTAAAGGATGGCAAAGTATTAAGACACTTCCAGTGCTTTTGGAGAAACTACTATTGAAATATATCTCACCAGACACCTGGAATACACACCGTGCTACTACCTGTTCTCCTGTGAGTAATTTTTTCCATAAGCCTGGAGTTATGTTCTGACACATCACATGTAAAAACTTCCATTGTTTACACAAATGTGACAGTTCAGCTTTTGCAGATGTAAGCCACAAAATTTGTTTTAAGTGCAGCATGCAAAAAAAATGAATCTCACTATTAACAATTCTCAACAGCTCAGTGAAACTGGATAAATTGAAAGTGCAGGGCAAACTATGTTCACTAGATGCTGTATCAGCTATTGCTAAAGGTCTGACCTGTTAATTGAACTTTATAAACTGAAGGTTTGAGGCTGTAGACAACAGAATGCAATAAAAAGAACCACTGAATCTACATTAAGCTCGCTAGCTGTAGTTATCATTGCTTGTTTCTATTTAAAATATTGTACTGGATATTTATATTGAACTCAAGCTGATTAAAAGTTTGACCTCTCCTGCATACATTCTCTGGTTCCTTCAGACTTCTCTGTAGAGATACCAGTGCTTATATGGCTGTCCCCATCAAGCTGTGTGAGCAGAAACATCTCCTACAGAGCCAAGGGAATTTCGTTTAAAATATAGGTGGCATCACCACATTTCTGCACACTGCAGATGCAGAAAAGTTAGACCATTTATCAACCAGCTTTACAAAATCTTGCTGCAGGGCCTCAGGAAGCTTCTGCCAAGGAGAGAGCCTCCACAATAAACCAGAGAATTCAAAGGCTGAACCACTTAACATTTAGACTGTAAAACAGGTTTATTTCCAGTCTTTGAATGTTTTACTTGAGAGTAGTAAACAATGGCTATTTTTCTATTTCAGAAGTAATCCACATTACTCAACAATTTTTGGGAAAAAAGTCATTTTAACACTGTACCCAGCAACCTTTTGATAACTACATACACGATAATGAGTGCTGTCTTACCTGGAACTTTGTCCACAGAGGCAAAAACAGACCGTTGCACCGTCGGATCACTGCTACCGCGTCGCGACTGCTCATAAAATCTGAACGGAAGGTGCTGGGACGTAGCTACAGAGCTGTGTCCAAAACCCATCACTTCGGTTGCAGGCTGAACAGGAAGATCCAGGAGAGCTATGTTTAATAACAATTGATAACTTTTGTTACTCAAAAATATGTAAGAGGAAGAGTAAGTGAAAACAAAATTCAGTTGGCCCAGAATCTTAGCACTGTTACCAGACTGCTTAAAATGCACTTGCATTTACTTTCTAATTACAGCTGCAATTACACTGAAAAAGACAGCAAACATCGAGAAATCTAGCTGCTAACTTTTCAGATTGTTCACCACCATCATGCCCAAGCATTATAACACCATGATATGCAATTCCACCTTTTTCATCCTCTCCTTGGCGTGATCTATATCACTTATATATCAAAATACAAATTTTACTCCAATAAAAGCTATTGGAAACTCAAACCCATTTAAATTCTTCAGTGACATCTTGCTTCTGATTTTTTTGCAAAACAATCTTGCCTTACAGTGTGATTTGCTACATGTGATTTGAGAACAACAACGAACCTGCTATTCTCTGCATCTTCATACGGCGAGCTTGGATACGACCTTTAGCGAGACGCTGTTTCGCTATAATACAGCGAATGTGATCCGAAAAAATGAATGTAGCTTGAAGGATAGGGAACGGCTTAGAATGAGGACTAGAAGCAGGTTTATGAATTATTATGTGCAGAGACCTACTGTCATCTTCTATTCCTGTTACCTGCATATCCTGAAAAGAAACAGAAGTAACCAGTGAAAAAGTTAACATGTAAACCTGCAGATTAAATAGAAGCATTAAAAAAAAAAAAACCCACTATGGTAACACTTAAAAGTTTTAAGAAAACTTTTGTTTTTATTCAAAAATTGGTACTTTTTAGATGTTAAGTCAGTCAAAAATTTGTTTATTTAGGCATAGTAAACTTTCAGGAAATAAAAGCATTAATCCTGCTATAAGGAAAGAAGCAGACATAAACAAAACTTTTCTAAGTTTTGAAAGTAGTTGTATGAGCAGAGGTCAGCGTAAAGCGACAACCAGTCTCCTTCCCTACTTTTATATGAGGATCAGAACTCCAACACTATTGTGCTGAGAAAAAAAACTCTTCAGGCTCAATCCTAATTCTGTGGGATTTCAGTGATCAGATAAACACAACCCATTAAGAATTAGGGATGGGTTTTGAAATAGAATGTATACTGGGAGAGTCACCTCATTTTAAAGTGTCCCTTTAATTAGCCAGATGAACTTCATAAAAATTGAAAACTCTTAAAAGCACAAGTCACTCAAGTAACAGAAGAAACAGGTAAGCATGCAACAAAGCTCAAGTGTAAGATAATACTGGTGTTAGTATTTCAATATTAATGTTGGTATTATACTACTTAAATACAGTTTATCACTTGAGAAAAATGTATGTATGCAGGTTAAAAACCTCCCTTACCTGCAAAAGACCTGCAAACTTAACGACTCCCCAGCCAAGTCTGGCAACATCTGGCTCAACCAAACTCATCTGGTAAATATCCACAGCCAGGAACCTTTGAACTTGACCCCCATCTTTTGTTATCACCGTACAAGCAATTAGATCACTGTTATCTGGGAGAGGGGAAGAAGTTCAAGTGTTAACACACAAAAGTGCAATCATCTATTACACCTATAGTTACATTGAAAGCACAGAATATCTTTTTACTATAGTGGCTCAAACATCTTACAAGGTACTTACAGATACATGCTACGCCTGCCTTGTTTTCTTTTACTACTGCCATCGCTACCTTTAAATATAGAAGATCACTTAATCTCAGGACATACTTGCACCAATGTTGATTTTACTCAAATGAAAGGAATCTCGAGGTCTTGTTGAAAAATATAGTCCTGTATCACTGCAGAGAATTTTTCATAAAATTATGCTCCATTCTGACTTTTTTTTTTTCCCTCTACTACTGGAAAGTTTATTCTGAAATTTGATGCAGATTTTCACAAGCCATCTGACTCTATGGACTCTCCAAACAAGCTGCATCATTTTTTTTCCAATACTTGCTACATGAGCTGACATCTTTTCCTTTACCTATCTATTTTATGGATTTATATTGAGGAACCATATCCTTTAACCATTACCCTGCACCAAAAACAAACCAAAAACCCTTGCACAAGCCCTACACTGCAGGCCTCAAGAAATAAATAAATAAATAAGGTTTCTTGATCTTTTCAATCTTGAGAAACGACTGGGTTCCCACTCGTTACACCAGTTGAAGTCTACTGAGCATCCCACAAACCAGCACTAACAACTCCTAGCAGACCTTTGATATCTTACTCATTTGCTCTTGCTTTGCTTCAAATTAATGCAATCACCGACATGCGGGTGTTCTCTCCCCTCCAACCACCAGGCCTATGGCAAGTAAAAGCTTCTCCCAGGCCCACGCTTCACACTACGGTGTTTATCCTTTCTTTATTTCACATGCTAGACAGCACTGCTCCCAACTTGATGGATTTGTAAGTTAAACTACTATGTCACAAGATTCACTGAATAAAAAGAAAAGCTGCTGAAAACAGGTTTGAGAACTTTGGAGAGGTGAGAGGGAGGATGGAAGAGCTCTACTGAGATGAACTGAGGTGGCAAATGGAAGAGCAGAGAAACCCAGAGCACGGATTCCTGAGTGCAAGTCAGAGGACAAGTCACTATGATTTTTTTTTTTCTCAGCAATAGTATGAGAAGAAAAAATGCACAGCCTACTACTATTTGAAGTCAACTTAAAAATTTGTCTTAACATAGAACATATACAAATATCACTGTAAATATGGCATTTAACAATAATCAGCTTCAAGGGCTCAGTTCGAGTATATTCAAACAAACAAAAAATAATGGGAGAAGTGGCTAACATATTTAGAAAGATTTAATCTAGTAGCCACCACAGAAGATTTTAAGAGCACATAATTGTTTCATCACTATCTTTGGTAATTTATTCCTCTAAATACAAGCTAACATTTACTTCTCTTCATCTTAAAGTAATCCAAAATACAAGCTGCAATGTATTATAGATGCTAACCATACATGGGGTGCTGCAGCCAAGCAGGAGCAAGCAGTGTACTCAGTTAACACAGCTCCTACTAGGCACATGGATTTTTGAAATATTTTAAACCAGTGCTCTTAAATTCAGCAGAAAAAGTAAGCAGCAACAGAAATACGCAAAACAGTCAAACTAAGCTCTTTCACACATCATCAGTACACGATTTGAACACTGCATTCATGATGTGGGAGATGGGTTCTGTCAGTAAGTCTAGAGAAATCTTGTCTCCCAGTGTTATCCAGGACCAAGGTGTGTGCTGGCATTTAAAAGAAAAGCAGCTGCAACTTCTTACTCGGGATTGATTTTTCTTAGATGCTTATCAAGTTTCAAGCATCCTGAAAGAGAGGCATTTTCTTTTTATTGTGAGGGTGGTCGAACACTGAACAGTTTGCCCAGAGGTGGTACAGCCTCCATCTGTGAAGATAAGAGATAAGCAGCTTGGAACTGGACATGGTTCTGAGCAGCGTGCCGCAGCCGACCCTGCCTGGAGCACCAGGCTGGACATTACTCTGCGATAAATCCTCAACTCTTAGGAGAGGTCAACATTGTAATGAAGAGGATCAACAGCCTGAACTCAAGATCAAAGCTCGGGAGCGTCACTCTGAGCTGCGCTGAACTTCACGTGAAAGGTTGGCTTCTGCGGAAGATTAAAGCAGCGCCTACACGAGACACCTACGATCGCCGCAGACAGCCTCAGGCTGGAGGGTTCCCTACAACTGCAACTGCTGCAGAACTGTTTACAGTAGAAAACAATACTGAAAGGTGACAGTATCACCGCCCTGATGGCAGCACAGCTGGCAGGGAGGCTAAGTTCCACGGAACACCTGACTCATTTCTAAACTCACAGTCACACACGGTGCCCCGAGCCTTCCAGCTACAACCAGCGTTGACCACATCTGCCTCAAAATATTAAAATCAAAATGATTTTTATAAAAAGTGCTTTACCCTTTCCTACCAAGCTCCTGCAGAACACTACTACTTTCACCTAACATTACAGAGTCTCACTCTATGGCCAGTACATCTTGACATGCCAGGGAATACATTTGAGGCCTAAACATCCCATTCCAGCAAAAACTGAAAGTCATTCTGATGGAATGAGTTCTGTGAGTTTTCTGAAAATAAAAAAAAGTTAAATAAAATGAAGAGGTAGACGAAATAAATATACACATATAGTGTCGAGCAGTAATAGAGATTAACAAAATGCAATGAGTCAGTATAATCACTATAGACACTCCTATGTTCAGAAAGTTTTAAGAAGTACTGAAGCAATGAATACTTGGCGAAATTAAAGAAAGAATATCCACAAAATAATATCAAAGTTAAAAAAAAAAAAAAAAAAAAAAACACCACACAGCCACACACAACTCTCATAACTGGCATTCCCTGGCCTTTGCTCTGGGTCAACGGAAGGCTTCGCATGGATGCTCTGTCTTCACGCTGCCTCAGCGTAGGCAGCCTGGGCAAGGGAGCGGCGACGCGCCGTTCAGGAAGCGCTGCCAATGAAAACACATGAACTGGCACATACTAAATGGGGAATTTCACTCAAAGACCTCATGAATACAGAGAAACTCTCAGTAGTCTCATAAATGATGATAAAATAAATCACGAAAGTGTCATTAACAAAACCACTGTAATAAAATAAATCTAGAGGCTGTGCGAACAGGCTTTCACCATGGGCACTGCCTCCAACGCTGCTGAGCAGAGAGTCCGCAATACTGAAGACAGAGAGGAAGGTGTGTGTGGGGGGAAGTAAACATCCCAAGAAAAACAAACCGTTAAAAATAAAGATCAATCCTGGATGCTTAACAAGTGACCTGTTAAAACCCAATGGTACCTATTTATGGGGAGGAACAGGGCCAAACATCTCTATCTGTGCTGAAAACTGCCATTTCAGCCACTTCCCCGACCAGAGAAGCTCCCTCCCGGGAAAAACAAACAGGTTTAATTGAGACAAGGGCTGGTGTCGCTTCTTGGCAAACGTTTTTTTGCCCATGCATTAATGCTTGTGTTTAGTGCTTGATCACAGCAGGTCTGTGCCTTTCTAGCTAACCAGAGACGGAAAGTTGAAGCCCGACACATAAAAGACTGGATCAGGCACTGGCTGTTTGCAACGGATTCTGCCTCCAAAAATCAAAGCAAGAGAAAAGGCAACAAGAGAGGCTGTTAACAGCCTGTTCTGAGTTAGCTCAGTTTTTTGGAAATAGGCTGCAACTTTATTCAAAGTTCTGAGATGCAGGAATGACCATTACCTTCCTCTCCTCTCTGGATACAGGCCATTTTCCTCTGTGGTAATAGGGTAAGTCACCTCTTTAATTGAATCTCCTTAAGTGTTAGCTCTGGACGCAGGGATACTTGAAAAGAAATAAGACCTGAAAAATCCACAGCTGTAAGTATACATTGTGGTCCAATGTAAAGACTCAACTGTGCAAGGAAGCGATCAGCAAACAGTGCATACGCAGGAATATATTAAGGCACAGAACTGCCAACATTATGCAAATACCCTGCATTTAAACTTCAATATGTGACAACAGCACTAAGTAAGAAATATTTATTTACTGCGATACTGTTCAACTGAGTAACACCTTCTCACTACAATTCATATTTTTAGAGTGCTTGCTATCTGCACTAGATACTAAACAATATCTGGTGCTACGGCAACATTTCTGCAAAAGGCTCAGGTTTAACTCTGATATACTCTACAGATATAGCTTCCTGTCCGTCCAAGATATAGCTTCCTGTCTGTCCAAGGAATATATAAATATATGTGTATATATACCCACACATACATATATGTGAATATACGTGGACATTTTAAAAGTCCTGTATAAATATAAAGTCTTTTGTCTTCTGATTTATGCCATATTGAACACTGGTTCTGTAGTCAAAACATCTGAAAAACACATTCACCTGACTTGGTGAATAAAGCAGTGGTCACAATGCATGTAGCTTCTTAATTAAAAATAAAACCAAAACACCTCAAGTTCATCACAAAAATTCAAAGTATAAGATGTACTGAACTGGAAAAGCCTCATTTTTTCCAAAACACACTAATGGCACACCACACAGTGCGGGTAGGAGGGTGGGAAACACAACACCAGCACTGCCTGCGGCAAGGTGAGATACCTCCTGCTTGACGGAGACGCCCTTCACAGTGGTTGCTTCTGTAAAGATAAACTCAGTTGTTGAAATCTCTGCTAAAGGAGGATTTTATCCTTCACAGAAGGAAGAACCCACTACCCCAAATAGACATAAGACTGCAAGTAAATTGCATTTGTTCATTAAGTTCTGGGTTTTGTAACCAAAGATTACCTACACATGGTAAGTACAGTCTTCTTATTTAACCACATTTCATTCCAACGGCACTGCCAAAACTTACAGCCTGGAGGAGCCTTGCTGACAGGTGACATTTAAGACACTATTTCACATTTTTGAGGCTTGCTGAGTTTTGTGCTGCAGTTGTTAGCAGAGCATTCAAAAGATTTCGTATATCAGATGATAAACACGTAGGTAAGAATACCACATCACTATTACAATTTTGATAGCACCAACCTATTTATTGTAGAACAGCCTGCAGATTAAAAACACAACACTAGAAATCATCAGACACTACAGATACATTTCACAGCTTAGTACTTTCAACTTTGTTCCTAAAGGAAATAAGGTTGTTTCCTAAAGGAATGGGTCTACTGGCCCTTTTAAAAAGGGCACTGAAAGATAATAATTATGCAAAGTTTTTCAGGCAGCTTTAGGAATTACCTGAACTGAGTTAATTGCAATGCAACTGTCTCAGCTCATTCCTGGGATGTGCTATAGTTCAGTGGCATTTCTGCAAACTTCCTTTAGGAAAGTAGAAAACCACAGTTAAGCAGTCATCCAAAAAAGAAAGAAAAAAAACCTCAAAAACAGCAATAAAAAAATCTGCTGTGTGACCTTTAAATTCCAAAGCTAAAGAAATACTCAGTCTACCTCAATGTTGGTATTTACTTGAAATACTGCCATTTACCTTCTTAAATGGCCTAGTACTGACTCAAAGGAGAATCCAAACCTTTTTTTTTTATTTTGAATTTTAGTTTTACTATACTAGAAAGGATAAAATATTCTGCTGAAAACTAAAATATTAGTCATCAGATAAAAAAAGGAGGAAAGCATGTTTCTGTTCCAAGTTTTACATCACTGAAGGCAAAATGAGTCAGAGAAGAACTAACAAGCTTTGCAAGCCAAATACATAAGGACGCTGCATACTTAAGACTGGCCTACAAATACACAGAAATCCCTCCACGGGTTTTAGTCAACGCTTACTCATTCCTGCCCATCACACCGCACTCACGGCACCTCGTCTCCAGCTGGCAACAGGGCCTGATTCAAACACGACTGAATCTGAGGAGTCTCCTCAACACATCTCACACATCAACCTGGGCCCCCGCAGTGACACTGCTCTGTATATTTAGCCCCTCAGCCATATGGGTACTGAAAAAGAGAAAACATCTGCAACATTAACTTTATTGCCTCTTCTGCAGTTTTTTGGACTAGTAGGCTAGTCTTCTGTTCCACCAACGGTTTCATTCCTTACTGGAAATTAGGGCTCCATGCACTGCTATCACCTAGCATAGGAAAGTAGCTGCCTTTTTTTTCTTTTTTTTTTTTTTCTCCTTTTTCTTAAAAAAAGAAAAAAAAAGTGGTAACACACACTGGACAACACAGAAGCTTTCATAGGCTAGTGTCCTGTAATCAGAATTACAAGCAACCATGTATAGCAGAAAGAAGAATGAGTAATTTACGGTCTAAGTTAGAAGTTCCAAGAAAAGGATACCTCATATTTTGCATAAAAGCAACTGCCTTAGAAATGAAGTGTCATAAATAAGGAACCACCTGCAATGAATTACCCAGTACCTGCAGCACAGTTCCCTACGCCGTGTGCCGAGAACCCATCACTTCCCTGGCCTAAGGGAGCAGCAAGACCAAACAACGGTCTCTGCCCCAGCAAACAGTGCTTGGAAAGGCTGTTTCAATTTGATTTATTTTTTATTCTGTATATTCTTGAAAGTTAGCAATTGCCTCATAGTCATGTTTCCAGTTAATTTACGAAGAACATTTTTTTCAGTAGAGGCTGATTCATTATTTCACTTTGCTCTCTAAAAGACAGTCAACATGACAATAAATCTGTAATTCATTAGAAACAGGAAACTGAGTTAACTCTGTACTCCTATTCCTTTAGAGTCGAGTAGTTCAACCATGAGCTTCATTTCTTATCTGCCAACTAAGACTCCAGGTATTGTGATTAACATCACTCATATTTTCTCCAGGACAGTTTGAAATCTTTTTTTTTTTTTTTTTAATCTTTCAATTTTTTTTCTTTTTTGTTCTCCAGAAGCAAGCAGCAGGAAAGACTTCAAAAGTAAAACTAAAAGCTCTTAGATAGAAAAACAAAATGGATTTCAAAGTTTATGCAAAGTTTATGCTCAGAATCAACAGCTGAAATTTGAAGAAAGAGTACCAACACATACCCTTTAACAGCTTAGAGGACAGCATTCTAACTGCTTTGAAAACACTTGTTCGCTGCAATGACCACAAGTCCAGGTTGCTACTGGGCCCGTGGGTAAATTTCCATCTGTTATGAAGAACAAGGCGGGCATTGATGTTTTAACACCTTGAGGAGAGAGGCTGAAAGGGGTGAGGTTGCGCTGCTCATTGTCTCTAATTCTCCAACCCCAAACAGTGCCAGTGTGAAGGTGAAAGAACACGACTATCAAGGAGCACCTTTTGTGTTGCCCCAACACGTTTTCTTAGATGCTAAGAAAACAGGGATTGAGATGACCGAACGATCAGTCTTCCATAGCACTGGCTGCACAGCCACCACCACACAAACACTGGCCTCAATTTCTCATCTCCTGAATGTAATCCCGCAGGGTTTACTGCAGCCTAACGCTCACCTGGCACAAGCATGTTGGTGCTGGGCACCTTGCACGTTTTTACCTCTAGCGAGCTCCGTTACCTGCTTTCACAGCATTCCTTCCACGGTTGCAAGTAGAGGAGTCTATCCTCAAAACATTCTCCTGCTTGGAACTTACACCAGACAAAATATCTCACAGGGCCTCAATTGCGTACACAAGCACTTAAATAAACTTTAAACAGTTTATTTTTTAATACTTAGGTTTGCCTTTACAAAAAAAAGTCTACTTAGCTTCCTTGACTTAATTAGCTCTAATTGCTAATACTGACTCTCTAAAGCAAAAATGCTTTATACTGGCCAATTCCCCAGAGAACTGCTATTTTGCTGAAGACAGCATCTAGAAGAGTACCACTGCTTAACAACGTTATTTATTTTTTTAAATCTTAAAATTCACTTCCGACTCCATTGAATTTGCGTAAAAGGTACATCCTTAAGGCTACTATGAGCTGAATACTAGATCCTATTTCAGTGTTTTCATCCAGAATTATTCTACGCTTTTTATCTATAGAGCTACTTACACAGCAGCTCTGGTTTCACAGAGTATTTACCTATTTTTCACTCATGTATTTTGTATTCTTGAAGGACTTGAGGGCACAAAAGAGGTCTCTGAGATATGAATATAATCCCTTAGAATCTACTAAGGCAACTGTTCTGCTAGTCCAAGTAGGATCAACAAGCACTTAGAGTCCCAATACTTAAAGGCTCAAGTACCAAATTCAATCTTTTTCTTTTTGTAAGAAACATCTGAAACTTAAAATCCTGACAAGTAACTAACAAATAAGTACACTCTACTTCAGTGATTCCACACACTCTATAGCTAAAAATGCTACCCCTACTGCCTGAACACAAGCAAAGACAAGCACTTAGCACTGACCAGCTACAGCAGTATGTCAAAGCATGCGACTCCAACACACTTCTTATTTAAACGTGTAAAATACGTGCCAGCTTTAAAATGTCAGAACTGATGTATAGAAAAATAAATATGGGTGGGAAGGAGGAGGGGAAGAAGATGACACCAGCAAACACCAGAGTGCAGTTAAGTAACTCCAGCCTCTGAAAGCTGCTGTGTGATTTAAGAAGATCAATGCATTCTGAATAGGTGAAAGATGAAATCTGGATAGGAAACAAAATTCTTCCTAGGATCTAGAACTTAGCCAAATAACATTTATATATTATTTTAAACCTAATGAAGCATTCAGAATCCTTTACCTGCTAATATTTAAATCTTGTGATGTTTGAACAGTTCATGGCCACCCACCTCAAAACATTTACAAAGAGCATTTGCAGTCCAGAATAAGATAAACTTAACACTATTGTCTTGGTAGTAAATTGCACAGACATGATAACAACTGTTTTTTTTTTTTGTCTGCTTTTATTTTGATTTTCCATGCCATAGTATTTGAGAAAGTGGGAGGAATACTTACTCAAGTCAAGCACATCATCTGTCTTTATTAGATCCTCCTCTCTTGTCAGTGGTAACTGAGTTTCTGGCTCACCTCGCAGGTGCAGTGACAGTGAACGGAGCATAAAGAAAACTCTGATTGCCTTGAGAAATTAAGAAAACTGAATATTAAAACACTGCTGCACTCAGTGCTAAGTGTTTTAAAAGAACCTTGCAAACATATCCTTACTTTCAAAACCTTTAAATTTGCTGATAAGCAACAAGTCCACTTTTTAAAATAAGAAAGCAATGTAAATTCTGAAGTTAATTAAAAAGAACACATGAAAAAGTTAAAACATGGGCCATTTATTTTGAACGGAAATGGAACCAGCAGAGAGTTTATTCCATTAGCACACCTGTACATCTTGTGACTGACAAACACATGATTACAAAGGCTGTGTTGTCGATCGGGTTTTTCACTACTATTTTAGGTCTGATTGTATCTACCAGAACTGAATTCTTTACATACGACTAAAGAACCAATCTTCAGAGGCCCTCATGCTTCGGACCTCAAACAGCACAACAACTAGAGCCGCTCAGAAAAGATGTGCAGAAGTTGGAGAGAAAACGCTGGCATTGGTGGAGCTTTAACCTGCTGGGTGAACTAACGGTGACTCAGTGCAAGGCAGCTGCTCCGAGAGCTTCGCCTGTGCTCGCTGGTCTCTACGTCAGGGCAAAGTGCTTGGGAAGCTGCTCCGGGCCCCAGGAGCTCTCAACAGCTGCTCTCCCAAACACATATTCTTGTTTGGATTTAGGAATTAATGACATACAGCATGTAAGAAACAGAAAAAGTGACAGGGAACAACCATCATTTTGTTAGCCTGTTTTGAAAGGCACCATTTACAATCCTTTTCAACTCCAAAAATTCTGCCTTTTTTTTTTTTTATCAGTATTGAAAACATTTTTTTTGTTTGCTAATACTATAGTAAATACGTTTTTCTTAACAGCTTCCCACACAGGAATTCTTTGGCACACAGTAGACTGCTGTCTTACTGCGAAAGCTAAAATTCTTGAAACAGCAGCAGTGTCCAGGAAAACCACACAATCTCAATCCCTTCCCTTCCTTGCTCCTTATTTCTAAAGGGGGAACAGCTATGGTTACTGGCCAACTAGGGGTGTGTTTAGCCAGCCTTCAGGAACCTGGGGAAAAACAGGGATGAAGAGGGAAGCCGCTGTGATTCCACGTGTGAGCGGGTGAACGTGGTAGGTGGCTGAATCTTAGGAGGTGAATGTGATTACTCAGTGTGGAGGGCACGGGGAGAGGAAGGAATTGTACTCCAGAACAGAACAAGAAGGTCTGAGTAAAGACTGCCAAGGATATCTAGCAAAAATATAGTACTAACTTAAAGAGCAGAGGCAGTTTATAACGGGAGATATCTTGTTTGTGGAGATCACATTCACATGCACTGTGAATTCACATAATTAAACAGATTATAAAACAGTTCTACTGCTGGATATTTGAAGAAAGGTCATTGAGTTACAATGAGTTTAAAAACCTCAAAATTGAATCAAGGGCAGCAACAGCCTTGCATTTTTGCTGACCAACTGTTAAGTCCAGAAGTTATTTTAAGCCAGGAAGCAGCCATTACTCACCCTGCTTTACTCACTTTTCCCTCAACCCCCTTTCCTTCCAAGAAAGGGGAAGGGAATAAAAGCATAAAAATAATTTAATATGAACATACTTTAGCAAAATAAATGAGAGATTTCTCCAGGCGCATAAAACGCAAGCAGCCCACAAGATCATAGTTTATCTTGTGTGAAAAAGCAGGACCCGTATATCAGCTAATCAACAAAATAAAAATACAGATCTCTACAGAGCTGCAGCAAAAGTTGGAATAATTTTCACAGGATATTTACAACATTAAATACTATGATTAGAAGAGCCCTTCCCTACAAGGGTAAGCAATTGAAAATCTTTATGGCAAAGCAGTATATTGCTAGCAGGAATAACTTGATGGCGGGTGGGTTTTTTTTTTTTTTAAAAAAAAGAATTACCAAACCTGGGGAAGTTACGACTCTTATGACACTAACCAGCACATTAATTTAGCGCAAGAAAAGCCACAAAGCAGCTTCTATTAACAAGCACTTCTAGGTAGTGTTCTGTTAAATGCCTCGGAGAATTCTAGGAAGCATTTGTGCTTTCTAAGAAGTTCACTGTTCAAGTCAATTCACAGTATTTTATCAAACTTAAGTTGCTGTGATAACAAGAGTTGTGTGGCATATAGTTAGTACTGAAAGCAAAAGTATTCAGCAGATTCCTGGAAATACCTTTCTTCTTGAAAAGCAGTTGAATGTGCTTACATAGATTTGTGCATAAATTCAAAGCTACCCAAGGAACATGGCTTTTCAAATAGGTAAATGCAATGATCCACTATAATGAAATTTACTACTCATAGGAAATATTCACATGTCTTGATTTATTCTCAATATTAAAACCTTCCTAGATCGTAGTTTTCAAGGAGCTCTGCTCATATCCTGACTGGATAGAGACAATTCTAAACCATCAGGCAGGTGAAGTAGGAACGTTGCACAATAATGTATCTTTAAGACTGAGAAGACTCAGAGGCCCTGTCAGACAAGGACTAAGATGTGACTATGATAAGATTGTTGATAATAACGTGGTTATTGCTCACAGTATCAGTATTCCGTCTATAAATTGTTCTGGTTATTAAAGCACGCATTTTGCTTGCTTCTCACTGCCCAAAGTCTCTCCCATGAAACTCTGCCAAGATGAACACTTTCTAGTGCAGAACTTAACTTTTCCATGTCTATAAATACAGCGAATGTGGAGCAATGCAACCAGCCTCCAGCTGGAGATTTTTACTTTACTGTGAGAATATAATGAAAGACAGACAAATACCAGACCGTGAAAGAAAAGTGTCAATACATTATGAATCTCATACAAAAAATACCTTTTTAAAGTAGGTGTCTCCACTGCCTAACACTGAAAACCTCAGCATGTACTAAAGTGCCCAGATAAAAGCAATCAGAGTGAAAACATTTCTGTACTGGGACAGACAAAAAATAGATGGTCTAAACAGTTCTGTCTGTGTTTAGGTTTTAAGATTTGAGAGATGACGCTTTCAATCAAGTACGTTTTAAGAGGAAAATGTCTGTATTTCTAGAACTGCTCATCACCAGTGGTATTATTCCACTGCGACAGCCAGCCAGCCTTACTCACTCTGCGTGTCCTCTCCACATCTCCACAGGGCAACCTCTTCACAAAATCGATACCCGTCAGCGGCGTCCCCGTGGGCGGCAGCAGAATGGAGGCATCCATCATCAAGTACTCCACATTCATGGGTTTCATCTAGGAAAATATTTTTGCATTGATTATTATACAGCACAACTGAAGCTCACAGCTTTACTTTCAAACGCACCACATGGCTGAATATTTTGAGCAGAAAGATTTTAGAGCATGCTGAGAATTTTTTGATATCATACATGCTATTTTAAGCTTTTTACATGCAATCTCTAGTTTATATTTGTTCATTGGTCCTTAACACACTATTGTGGTTTTCATACTGCCAAACCACAGCAAAACCTGAAAGATTATAGAGTAGGAAAGCTGTTCCATGAGTGCTACAAAACAAAGCCTCCCTTGTGGTTGATTACAAGTTTTGACTCAAATTTTTCTTGTGCTTGAAACAAACATGACGGTTTGTTTTTTCTTTCCTCCTCTCCCCTTGTCCAGCAAAAAAGAATCCTCTAGTCCATAATAATGCAGTAAATTTGCACACTACATATTTTCCTTCAGACTTATCACTAACAGAGTCTCCTTCTTACATGATTCCTTATTTTTATGACTCAATTATGTTTGAAATACCTATCCTGGATGGATGGTATCCTTGGATGAAATTGCCCCAAGTCATTATATATAGACCTACTTAACACACGAGACTATTTTTATCAGAAAATGAGCTGCAACAGTTGAAACATATTCGAAAACCCCTCCTTTATTTGTACAGCAATCGGGGTAGAAGGCCAATGCAGGCGCATGGGCATTCTCAGAGTCAAGAGAACCTGGAAATGTTCCTGTCAACTTTGCAATTTCCAGACACTATAAAATAAGCAAACTCTGAAACATGTTCAGAGAAAGTATCATTAAACATCTGTGTTATTTAGGGTGATGAAATACATGTAAGGCGCTTTTAAATATTAACAGTTACTGCAACATATCAACTATAGTTTTTCTTTTTTTCCCCCAAAATATAACTAGTGGCTGCTAATTATATCTCCCTACCGTAAAAAAAAAAAAAGTCTGTAATTGAAAATACATAGCATTTTTACTCGAATACTAACTTAATAATAGAAAAAGAGAATTAGTTTTTAAGAAATATTTACAGGTTAAATATTAATTAAGCTTTGCAATACAAAGCTTTGTAATGCAAAGCTTAATTTGCCTTAGTTTTAGACTTCTACATCACTGTTTCACACATGATATGGCACTGCTAACGGCAGTAATACCTTTTTATTAATAAGATGTGTGATATTTCAGTTATACATTTTATATAAGTATAAACATAGCTCCTCAGAAACAACAAGAAAAAAAATCTTACTGCGTACTAGAAATAAAGACACTATGTTCTTACATATGCTTACTGCTGTGTTGTACCTGGGTTTGAGGGTGGGCTAATAGATTTATCTGTCACTTACTGTCATACTCCGGTATTCGTCTTCAAACATATCAAGAAAAATTTCTTCCCCCTTTCAAAACAAAACAAAAGGATATATTTGAGACAAGATGCAACCAAAAAGCAACTTCAAGAAAGGAATATCTTCCATATTAGTCTTAGTGATAAAACCCCAGAACTGTTCTTCTGATGTTTGCTTGGTCCTGTTCCATGAAACACGCCGCAGTCACAACAGAGGCCCCGGGCTGCTCATCTGACCTCAGACCCGCAGCTTACGAGATGTCTAATAGACATTTTGGGAACTACATCAGTAGGTTAAGGGAGAAGCAGGGAAGGAGAATAACCCTCCAACTGAACACTTTTGCTACCCTTTCATGCTTTCTTCCTCCCAAAAAGTAGGCACCAGAGGCACTAAGAGGAGATAGGGTTACAGAATTGCTTCCAATTCCCCCTTAGTCAAATGACTCTTTCTCCCAGTGGACTCACCTTGTAAAAACGTCGCAGGAGATGAACACTTTCTTCCCTTGCACCCTAGGAAAAAGAAAATAATTTAACTGTGTTTCAGGCAACAAGAACTTCATTTACTCAAAGTCTCTTTAAGAAACACAACAACAAATAAAGAAAATCCACTCCAAAATGACAAAATACCATTCCAAAATTGGTATTTTCAAGCAAATTGTCACCATATTCATATCCTTCAGCCTAGACCTCAGCAGAAGAGAGCTCTTGCACTTAAAAGTACAGCTTATCTGAGAATGATAACCACTCTTCATTACGTTGAGATAGTTAACAGAAATTTTAGAGAAAATAAAGCATATTTACACCTGAGAGGTTAAAAGTTTAGACAGTGACGTAAGAGAAAACAGAATATTGGGTATCAATTCTTTAATTTAGCTGTTGAGAGCCAGCTATTGAAAGGTGTTCCAAAGGCTCTGTTATGTTTTTCTGTAATCAAATATGAAATAATTTCAAACACACATCAAGAGTAAGCAAATTAATGCTGGACCACGTAATTTGAAAGAAATACTTACCTCAAGGCAAGCAAGGTGAACATCTTTTATGATGCTGCCATTTTTAGAAAATACAAGTTGCTTAAGCAATAGACAACCTAGTTCTAATGTTGCCAAACGGATTTTTCCATCTGAAAAGAGAATTTCAATACAAAATAGAAACAATGTAAACATTACTGTTCTCATTAACTTTTTTTTCCATGTTTTTACACTTCTCTGCAGTTATAAACCTTCCTCCTCTGTCAAGAGCACCCTACCTGATAAAGAAGGGTGCTGATGCAGATACACAGTGCTGATGGACAATGAGAAGAAAATACAAACTTAAAGACTATCTAGAAAAATATTTTAAAACAAAACCATTCAAGGGCATCATTAGGAAAGATCTAGAACCTCAACCTGGCAAAGAACTATTTCACTGAGCCCTGAAAACATTACCTCATGAAAACCTGAAGTCAAGGAAAAATGTTTTCTGCAAAACACTTCAGAGCTGAATATATAGGCTGTGATTATAAAAACATCACAGAAAAACTTGCTATCAGCTTTGGAAACAAAGTGCAGCTATAAACAACGGGTATCAGCAACTTCCCACGTATGTTTTTAGACTACTACTACCCTCAAACTAGTGTTGCGAGCAACAGCACCCAAACCATGGTTTCAGGATGATGCTGTGCATTCCGCCAAAAATCACTAGGTACCTTTCACCATTTTTTGCTAGATATTTTGCTTATTCAACAAAGCAAAAAGTAGGAATTTAGACCAAAGACCTCTGCATAGATCCAAGCAGAAAAGCAAGCAGAGAAAAAAGAAGAGAAGCAGAGTTCCTGAGTCCTTAACAACTGAGGGGAAAACCAATACTCGTATTTCAGAGTCCATATCTATTTATTATTCAACAAAAAACATGCTAAAGAGACACTTTCTCTGAAAGACTCGGGGCTAACTAGCATTTTGTTTATTTCAAACATCTCCAAAAATTTCAGCTTGACAAGATGACAGATACTAAAAGTGTAATACCTGCTTGTGCAGCATAATTCATTATCCTGATAAGCCCCTCTGCAAGTACATGATTATATGAATTTCTCTCTTCGGCATGTTGAGCTGGAAGCTGAATTCTGTCGAGTTTGACTGGATCAATTCCTTTAGTGGGGGGTGAAGGAAAGAAAATAAATAAGCAAACAGGAGTATACTTCTGGCTAAATACTTTATAGAGCGCAATAGTCTTCCTGCAAGTTAGTTCTGTGTTTCTCTATCACAAGGATAACAAGGAAAAGCAAAAAGACTAAATAAACTTGTATAACACTGGGAAACGACAGATTTTAAGGTAGCCTACGAGGTGAGGACACTCAAGGCCCAACGAAACGGCTGGCGACAATCAAATCCTTTTGCTGTATCACCAGAAGAACATAAAGACTAAAGGAAGAAGAGATAGGCGTCTGATGTTAAATTCTGCCTTGGTAGCAAGTGATCGGTTCATATCTAATTTAGAAACATAGAAATTTTACTCTGGAAATCGGAGCTTCTTATTCAGTGGACATCCTGAAGTCACACAGGTACTGAGGTACAGGGCTGAGAAAAGGCAATTTTAGTTTCCTATTCCTGTAAAATAGTAAGCTTATTTCTCAGAATGAGTGGGTTCCCAGAACAGATTGGTTCCTGTAAGAGCTCTTAAAGTAAAAAAGAGATGGATTGCTGAGGATGTCAGTGTCCTTGTTCTAAGGAATGGTAATAAATATTCCTTTAAAAGAGAAGCTCAGTGTACCTCAGTCAATTTTTTTCCGATTCCAAACTTGTAGTTACCTCCATATACCAGCACTATTTGTGAAACATATATCTAGGCATTTTAAGGGAGGTATATTGGTTCTCATAATAGCTTTTTGGAGGGGGGGGGGCAACAGCAATAAAAAGCATGCAGAGGCCAAAGCTGGGGAGGACTGAAGCACAGCAAAGCTGTGGTGCTGCCTTCGGTAACAATTGTTGCACTTCTGTGAAAGCCCAGAAATTCTCTGCCAATAACAGCCACAGAAGAGCATCTCAGCGACCCAGAGCATCCAGCGGCTGCAGGAGCAACATGGGTGTTGAAGCAGAAAACATGGCAGAGAGATGGAGAAGATAAAACGAGACAAAAAGAGACTACTTGAGGGCCATGCCTGGTCATCTAACAGTTTATTTTTTTGGCCTGCCAGATTTACTCTATCTCACGAGTCTTCTTCCTCAAGACCCTCACCACCATCGTGCTTGCCTCCTAGAGGCACCTTGAAGCTAGCATATCACACCCCTTATATATTCAGGCTGGACACGGTGTCCTTCAACCTGAGCTGAAAAACTGCAAAAGAAAAGAGTCATCTTCCTGCAGTTTCAAGAAACCGACAGAAAAGTCATTCGATATTCATGAAGTTTTACACGTAAGCTGTCATAAAAGTTAACACATTTATTTTCCCTCCCTCTTATTGTGTAAGGAATTTGTTTAAAACATGCATAAATGTGTTACATTAACTAGGCAGCATCTAATTGTTAGGCCTAATAAGTGACCGTGACTCATTTTGCTTCCATGAAGGGCACTCACCCTTGTTGTGCGACATGGCATACAGCAGGCAGAGCACGAAGAGAGCGTAGTAATCGTCTTCAGCGCAGTCCAGCGCGTTGTAGACCATGTCGAGAAAGGGCCTGCGGAGAGGGGTCACTTTCAGGTGGTGCAGAACAAAAAGACTATGTTTACAGAAAAATGAGTAATTAGATAGCCTATTCGACACGCAACTAATGAAAATTACGCACATTTTCGGGACTTAAGCACAAAAATAACTGTTTTGAGATCAGTCAGGTTATAGTCAGAAATTGTGTTACATTTTTTGATGTTTGAACCGGATGTGTCACATAATACTCTCCCAACAGCTCACATTTCTGTGGAGTCTGTTTCTAGCGTATTTATTATGTATGCAGAAATGCTCCACAGCTTCTTGTAAGGAGCTACATGGGTGAGTGGCCACATCAGCTACCATGGCACCGAAAACGGCCGCCATCATACTTGTGTTCTACCACACTTAGAATGTTTTTACGTCTACAGTAAGAAAACCATTTCCACTCTAAGTTTGGAGGAGGCTGGTTTACACTAATGGAAGCAGTAGAAAATTTTAAAGCCAGCCATTTAGAGAGGAGGAAAACAAAAACACCACCACACACACAAAGAACCCCCACAAACACAGAATGAGGAAGGAAAATTGGAAAAGGGAAAATAAAAGCTCTGGACTGGAAAAGAGTTTTTGCCTCTTAGTTTTAAGACCATGTGATCAATAACCTGAATAAAGGAAGCTATAAATATTGAGTTCACTTCACCTGCATCTAAATAGATTAGAAAGTCAACTTAACCCAGAAGCTGCTTAGACAAACCAGATGCAGCTGGCATTAGCCCAAGCCTGGTGGCAAAGCAACTTGGTTCTTGTCTTGAGCTGGCCTGCATCGAGTTTTTACAGGATAAATGGCCAGGACACAGAAGTTACAGGAAGTAGCAGGATCACCAAAAGAGCTGGGTTCCCAGCTCAAAATAAAGACCTAACAATAATTCCTTCACTGAATTTTAAAGTTTTGTTTTAAACAGTGAAAAAAACCCATCACATTAGCAATCTAAAATATTTTCTCATAGTAACAGCTTCTAAAGTGGAAAATAAATTGTTCCCACCTCCAGACACAGCAGCTGAGTGTCCGCTACAAGCGCGCTGCTGCAGCTCACTGAAGGCCAAAGGGCCAGCAAAGAACCCACCACGCTGGGATAGGTCCCTCGATCTGGAGCTCCCTCATGGGCACAATTTATGGAAACCACTCAACGAAAGACAGGACAATGCGCTCAGCACTGCCCTTGGGCTCCATCGACGTTTCTACAACACACTCCCTTCCAGAGAACATGTTCTCTTTCCACAGACTCAAGTAATCTCAAGAATAACAGGACATGTTGGCTCCCTGGGCAGTCCGGGAGGTGGCAATCGCAGCATTTTTTTTTATGTCAGATCACAAGCATCTTCCCTGATACAATTAACTGACACCAAGTTACAAGTCCTCTTTGGCAAAGTTCATCTTTGCTCTGCCTGGCAAAGCCAAACTTGCCATATGACATTGCTATGTAAAGGGAGAAGATAACTATGTGAGCAAAAGCAACCTAAAACAGTAGCCAGAATGAAAACCCCAAGTAATAAATGCAACAGGGCGTTTTACACATAGCAAGAGAGCTCAGACAAGGTTGCAAGCAAAAGAACCAGGATATCCAGCTTCAAGAACCTGTTAAATACTATTTAAACAATGAGTTACTTAAGTACTAGACAATTATTTTATTAGTTGATGTAATCAAAGCTAAGTGATATACTTGAAAGTATTTTTGCATCAGCAATGACAAGTTCGATTTCACTTTTATCATTAAAAAAAACCTTTTAATATATTTTAATGCTTTATCTTATACAGTTATATTTTAATACTTTTTATGCTATTCTAAAATATTTTTAGTATTCTAAAAATAGGAACACAGCAAAATTCTTTAAAAAAGTCTCATGGACAATTAATATA